CAGCAGGAACCAGCAGGAACCAGCAGGAACCTCCAACAGCTGCAGCTACTTTCCTCCTCAGTGGCTCCATTCACAAGTTAAATCAAGTTCAAATGAACCGTCATTGTCCTTCATTTTTCTGTTTAATGAAAATAAACACATTTTCTTCACAAGTTAGTAAAACTTTTTCACATTGTCCCAATAAAACCAAATACTGGCCTTTGAAAGACCCATAAGATCGCTGCTTTAGAGATTTTATTTATAAAAGAAAACACAACTATCACAGATTCTTTGAAGACAAACAATTCTCAATTTTAAACAATTTTTAAAAAATATATTTTATTATTGAACAAGGGACAAAAGAGTTTTCTGAAAATGTGTAATTTACAATCACTATGTTATAAAAATGTATTAATTCTCTTTTGACGTTGTCCTTGACACATGATTTGATTTGTTCGTACCTCATCTGCTTGCAGTAAATTCATAAAACGTGTGGGAACTTGACCAACATGCATTTACAACAGCCTAAGATCAACTTGATGACAGGGGATATGACATTAGGTGGAAGACTTTAACTTCTTGGGGAGCAATCACGATGCCTCAGAGGCACCTTTTGGGGATACTGAACCTAACAGGAGTTAAATTGTGGAGCAAAGTGTGTGAGAAAGGTGTGTTGTGATGTTGGCATGAACTGTTTGAAGCGTCTCTGTGGCGTTTGTCTGTAAATATCGGTGCTTAAATGTGGAAAAATCCATAAATCATTTTACACAACTACAAGTACGGCTGTTTGTGTATGTGTGTTAATGGAATGGAAAAGCAAAACATAATTGTCGTTTTATGTTATTACTGAGCATTTCTTATCTGGACTATTCTAAAGAGCATGAATCATTTAGCTTTCCCTGATCAGGGATGGATAAAAGAAAAAAATCCAGGTCACAAAATATTCCTTGGAGTACATTTGAATCCATCATTAAGAAACAGAAGGAATATGACACATGTAAATGTACCTACAGCTGATATACTCATGACAGCAGACATTAAGGATTATTCCAAAAAATGACATTAGCAACATTGGTTAAAAAGTTTTGACCAAATGCAAGCTTTCATATAAGACTTGTTAATATAGTTATTATTTACTAACTTGCCCACCAACGAACTGCCTTCTTTAGGAACATAAAACTGAATGTATGCTGCTACTTCAGTGTGTTTAAATGCATGAGAA